ACAGAATACGTCATCAAGTTGTTCAAGGACAACTGGGTAAGGGACTTTGGTTTACCAAAGACCATCATTAGTGACCGAGACGTACGATTCACAAGTGAGCTGTGGAAAAAGACTGCGGAACAGATGGGCAGTCAACTTCAGATGACTTCAGGGAATCATCCCGAAGCCAACGGACAGGCCGAACAAATGAATAGAGTTGTACAGCACTTGCTGAGGCATTACATCAAGCCCAGCCAGGATGACTGGGATGAGCAGTTACCTCTCATCGCCAGCCTGTACAACAATGCTATACATAGTAGTACCGGCGTTAGTCCTAACCAGCTGCACTTAGGATGGAAGCCTAGATCAGCACTAGCCTTCCTCCTACCTGAAAACCGACCTGCTGCAACTCCAGGCACACTTGAATACGGTGTGCAATATGAGAAGTTGTTGCAAGAGGGTGTTGAACATATGAAGAAGCTCAGCAAGCCATGATTGCTTCTGAGAATCAACATCGCAGACAGTCCACATTTCAGGTAGGGGAACGTGTCTGGGTCAAGGCTAGTGAGTTAGGACAGGAGTTCGGAATATCTCGCAAACGAATGCCTCAGTACTTTGGTCCCTGGGAAGTCTTGGATGTAGTGGGAGATGAGTTGGATGGTCCCACATATGTCATTCGTGTCCCTGGACACCTACGCACTCACCCAGTCTTTCATGCCTCAAAGCTTGCACCTTTCGCTGAGACTGATCAATTCCCTTCCAGGAGATCGATGCTGGCCCCAACCATGGATGGACAAGTGGATATCGACGACATTGTGGATCACAGAGATATGCCTGTTCAGAAGCCGCTGGGTCGAGGAAGACCTCCTAAACCCAAGAGAGAATACCGGATCAGATTCAGGCATCATACGGATCCAAAAGAAGATCGGTGGTTTACCCGGGAGGAACTGATGGAAACAGCTCCTCAGGTGGTGGGAGATTATGAACGGAAGCTAAAAGGGAAGGCACCTGCGAAGTAAGCATCTCAGCGGACTTTCGAAGCTAAGGGGGATGGAATGTGAGGAATGAGCCCTCAAGATGGGGCCTTGCCATGATGTACATGTTCTGGGCTAAGGCCCCAGCAAGCCTCATGCCCGCCCTAAGTGAAGGCGGGCCAGCAAATCAACAATAGCCCTCTGTGCATACATTTCACGAAGTGGGGTCCTTACAGTTGCAGCACGCCAGT